TCGGAGCACATATGAGGTGTGTTGGATGCAAAGTCTAGAGCGTGGTTAGTCACAGAGCCATCTGGTTGGATTGAAAGCTGGCACATTTTGTAGTCATCTCTTGGCTCAAACCCATGAAGCGAATCATCCACAGAGCCTCCAAGACCCAAATCAACACCGGCTCCGTTCACATTTCGGGAATTCTGGTGGTCCCTGTCCAGGCCTGAGGTCATTGAAGCCATGGAAGACAGCGATGGGGCGAACACTGACTGGCTAATGGACTGAGAGCCCGTGTAAGAGATCTGCAGCTGATCTATGAGTTTCTGAGCACTACACAGACACTCCTGTAAAGTCTTCAACTCCCTCTCGGACACTTCCAGACGCACTTTGAGTCTTTCATTCTCTTGCTCCTTGTGCAGCAACTCTTGTTGAGTCTCGTTGAGCACAAGCACCACTTCGCCCAGGAGAGTGTCGACTGCGGCGGACATGGCGGTCTGAATGGTCGGGGCGAGGCGTGATTTGAGCGACGTTACGGTCATGTTGCCCTGCGAGGCTCCGTATCCAGCCTTGTCTGCTTTCCGATCAAAACAGGACTCTATCCCGGTCCTGTCGGGGATGTTGATGATACTTTGTTTACGGTTTCCACTGTGGACCGGGCCGCTATTGGACTGAGAGGAATCCATGCTACCAGCATAGCCTGTCCTCCTGGAAGTCATTATTTTAATGCAGTTAGCTAACGTCCACAGGCTATGCTAACGTTTAGTGCGCTACCCCAAAAAAAAACAAACAGTCCAATATTTCTAACTAACCCGGGTTAAATTTTTTTTACGAGTTTTGTTCCCGGGATATGTCGGAGCAACGACGGAAGTGTCACCAATTACATTTGTCTCATTAGCTGTTTCACTGGCCTCGCTGACGGAAACAATGTCGGCGACTGTTCGCGGGGGCCTGGTTCGCTAACATTAGCCTGCTAGCTTTAAGACTAACAGTGTTCGTCGGTCGCAGGCGAACTCTCTCAAACAGCGAGACTCTGCAGGAGAGAGTGCTGGCGGTCGTTAGTCGCGTTATTCAAGTCCGTAGATTACTGCTCAGAGACTCACCCATCCCCAGCTTGTGTCTGCAGAGCCGCACAACCATGTACCGAGTGTACACTGAGGCCTGTCGCGCAGAAATGACGTCCCACACAGAGGAAGCACGAGGTTCGCTTTGCCCCGGAGGTTGACTTGAAGGGAGTTTCAGCTCCTCAGCAGGAGAAAGGAGCTTTATGTGCCTGTTTATGTGAAATACAAACTCACAACACGTCTGTGTGTGCACATGTTCAATGCTGTTGTCTCCAATAGGCACAAGCAATGAAAGGGACAAAGTCATTTTCATTCATTTATTCTTCTGATTTTCAGTCCAATGAGTTTTGCTCACCTGGACGTGTAAAGACCTGTCAGTGAAAGAAACACATTCTGCTAATTGAACAATGAAAACAGAATTATTTCAATAATTAATTATTCCAATATAAAAACCTAATTTTTAGATATTCCATTGGTTGATATTAAAATAAAATAGATTAATAAAATCACAATCACAAATATATATATATGGCTATATATCAATCCAGCAATAAATAGGTTGAATAATAACAGTGTAGTCCTCTATATGTAGGAAACGTGTATATATATATATATATATATATATATATATATATATATATATACATGATTATTTATCATTTCTTTTTTTAATGTCTATTTTGTAGCATACTGGCTTTTGTTGCATGTCTAATCCAACATTATTACAGCATTTTATATGACACTGATAAATCATTTCTGACCTTCTGAGCAGTCCTGGTAGTGAAATCAAAGTCTGACAGATGTATTTGTATTTATTAAAGCGAGTTGAGTCCATGAACAAGTGTAACATGCATACAGTTTACTGTTTGCCTGTTAGTCAGTATTTGGGGTGAAATGTGCTCCATGTCTCTCGGTTGTGCAGCAGCCATTTGCGGAGAAAAGCAGAAGTTTCCCCTTTTCAGTCCAAAATTAATCTTAAGTATCCGCAGGTCACCGACCCCTCAGTGGCTTATGAAAACTGTGAACCTGTCGGATAAGAGTTTATCCCACACCAGCAGTCTGCTGTGAAAGCAGGATGCTGTGGCCCAATTATTTGAAATCGGAAACTGGCCAAAAATATGATGAACTTTCTGATGCTTCGCAGATGAACCGACCATTGTAAATCTATCATGCAAACTAATTAATGTCACCCACACCCAGTTGTGTAACTGAACAGACACAGACCCGCCTGGCTCCGTGCTTCATTCTTCCCCCCAGTGTTGCTTCTATTGTAGGCTCTAGGGGGCGCTGTCGACCGCTTTAATATAATGAACGATACTGAGGTCAGGGTAATAAGCCTTACATTAATCATTTCCCATTGGAATGGCTCCTCACAAACAAAAAAACTCTGAGCACTTTAACGTGTTTCATTTAAACGAATGGTTTTCTTTATCACATTATTTTTGTTTGTGCAGAAAGATGAAGAATCATTAGGCGACAATGTCCACTGAACACTGCCTGCAGAATTAATTACATTATAACTGAAAGTGTGTGATGCATTCCCCCATTGCTGCACATATTTAACAATAAGTAGGCTGGATGTTATTAAGATGAAATGAAGTTTAAACAATGAAGCAACTAATGAAGAATCTTGGCTTGTTTATTCTAGTTTTACAGATCATCTTTTGACAGTGGGCCAAAGCTGGCATCTGGAGGTATTGTTGTTTTCTCTTAGGTCGTTAAAAAACATCACAACTAATGTGATTAGTAAAAAAGAAGTAGGCAGTAGGATCTTCTGTCCCTGCTATAACAGGACCTTGTAGTATTCATTTGGGCTGCTTCCATTTCATATATAAAAATAATGTATTCCTTATGGACCTGTTTCTGATGAGGAAAGCAGACCCATCCCAACCAAACAACAGTGGTTAGGGGGGAAAGTGACGTGGTTTATGGCAAAAAGGGGCAAAGCATTTTGGGATTATGTAACAAACCGTCTCACAGTTACCATCTGCTTGCATTTGTGTCACTTCCAGAGTCACAACAGAAGTATTTTTTAACTCAGTGACTTCACCTCTGTCTCTGATTAGCTCATATTGCCTGTAACACCACTTTGTTCTTTTTAATGTTTGTCCCTCAGTTTCCTTTTATGGACATTTAGTTGGCAGACATACGACTGACTCACTATGAAAGAGATAAACAGGTACCGTATAATAAATATAAACCATGATGAAATAATAATCAGTATTATAATATACATGATATAATACATAAACACAATCCTGTATTACACAATATATAAACATACCCACACACATTCCTACATATATGCATCTTCTTCACACGTACACACCCACACTCCTTCCTGTATGTATACCCAGACATGTTCACTCAAACCAAAGACAAATGCCCGTACAAGAATGAAGGAAAAACACCAAGAAGCGACTGATGAATATACGATAAATATGTAAGACATAAAAGTAATCCATAATTAATAGTTGGGAAACAGTAGTTATGTAAACACGCTGCTTCCTGCAGAATTACATAAAGGACAGAAACACTATATTTGCATAATGTAGCAGCAATAAGACACTTCAGGGATGCTGGAAGTCAATCAGGGTTGGGGGTGCTGAGAGAAAAATGGTTTTCCATTAATATATATTGCCAGGATAATGTATAGTCTATTTAGTAGTTAGTTTTATAACTTTGTAGCTGATAAAAAACAAGGTAAAACTTCTTTCCTGCTATAAATAGCCTACCGGTGTACACATGTAAATCCCAGTAAAAAAGCAGAAAATCATAAATTTAAACACTCCTATGAACTAATAGGCTTCATTATGCCAGATTTTAGGGAGTGCTGCTACTTCAAGCATCCATATGACACAACATTTTTAAAATTTTCCATCAGTAAAGTAAGATTTGACTGAGGTGTTGTTTCCCAATCAGAGCTGACTGAGCTCAGTTCATCAGTTTTGTGAATGTCTCTGGTACAGGACGAGCTAACTGTGGTCACTTTTTCTGCGGATGTAACTCAGAATCAGAGCTGAGATGTGAGTGTGCAGCTCAATTTAAGGCCACAGCTACCACATAAAGACAAGTTGCCTTTCCACATCTCCAAAAAAACATCTTGTTCAGTTCTTCTCTTCCCTCACTGTAAAACCAGATACGTTCATTTAACCCAAAGAATTGTTGAAACTGGTTACATCAAAACTAAAACTACATTTTGTAAGTTAAATAAACATTTTTGATCAAGTAGCTTTTGTAATTTTAAGTAAGAATGACTTAATTTTGTAAGAACAAAACCAAACACCTCGTAAAAAGTTAAAATTACTTTTAAAAGCCTAACACCTAAAAAACTGAGTTTGTGTTACTTAAAAAAAATTATGTAATCAGTTTCAACAGTTTTTTGAATTAAATGAATTTATCTGGTTTTACAGTGCTGGATATAAGAAGCGCAAGACACACTCATTACAAATTATTCCCTGAACAGGTCCAGTCAGGTTCTTTTCCGGCCTTTTGGTCAACAGCTGCACAACAATTTTCATTCCTTTCAGTTTTGCTGCAGTGTTTTGAGTTAAGTCACGTAGTATTTCGGTGAGAGGTTAGATGGTCTAAGGAGGACTTGATAGGCTGTCTGGAGCCACTAGCATATGTAAGGGATGACACATTCCAGTGAATCAAAGCCGTGACACAGATAATCCCAATCCTATTCAGTTCCCTCCATCTCTTTAAGGGAAAACAAGAGCTCATCAACAAGTCATACACTCTCTGATACACCTCCCCACTGCGAAGGAATGTAGCCACAATCCACCAGCCTCACTTCTTCAGAAATTAGGTAGCTGTGACATCACAAATAGCAGACTAATACCACTAACTGCATGAAAAAATCACTCACCCAGTCATCAACATTGCTAAATCCTTCAGTAAGGAGGGAGGTGGAGCTGGTGCAGAACGGTCGGGAATAGGGGGGGCAGAAAGAAGGAGGTGATTGTTTGGGAGAAGGGAAACATATAAAAGAGGAGGGAGCAAGTGAGGGAGCAAGTGGAGGAAAGACGAGGAGAAAGGAACTCACTCACATTTTGACAAAGATTACAAACTTCTGCAAACAACAGGTGAGTTCATATCTTTTAATATTTTATGCTTTTTCACTCTTAACACAAGCGAATAGAGTTTAGCTGTGGCAAAAACAAAGAGCACAGAGTGTATTAGTATTCAATGTGGGCTCCTGTTCTGTTTTCAATAAAACTACAGACTTGTCTTGGGAGATTTTTGAATGGGCTTCATTGTTATCTCTCCATGCATGTCCACCACACAGTGCACATTTCAGGTATGTTTTTTGTGGATTCTTGTGGAAACCGCACAGGCAGTTTTCCTGTAACTGGATCCAGCTAACAGGGCTGTGCTGTTCCTGGGGTGTGTAGGCATTTGGACCCGTTGTGCAATACTGCCTGGAATGCTGAATTAGTGTGAAGTATCTCCAACGCTTACAAATGGGGATTATTCTGAGCAGCTCTGTGTACAAGACCATAAATCATTGACAAAACATGCCACAGAATAATAAATTTCAACTAATTAAATGTCCACATTTTTGTCCTCTGCTTAATCACGAGTAAAAGCACTGTGCTCTGGTCTTGAGAAAACAGTTTATACATTATTTTCCAACAGAACATAGGCCCACATTTTAATCCATTAGTTTCTTTCGACACAGTCCCTACCCTCTGCAGTCACATAATCTCTGAAAGACGCAGCATCAGGAGAGCGATAACTCTATGTCCTCATTCGGGCTCATTTCATGCAAGACAAAAATACACCGACTCTCTGAACGTACACATGTCTGTAAACCCGAGGGGCTGATACTTTTCAGTCCTATGCAAAAAACAGATTTTCCAACACACTGATGGAATTTTACTTTATATTCTCTCCAGACAGCATGATGCCGGCCAGCAGAGACCTTCCTCTTCCTCTGGTGATCCTTTGCCTGGTTCTCATCAGAGGTTACTCTCCCCTGCCTACGACAGGAGTTACAGGCACAGATCCAATGGGACCCCAAAGACCACGTGGGAGTTTGACTGAGGCCCTTATGCTTGCCTCAGATGATTACTCTATATATGAAGACACAGTCACCACTATTTTACCAAACAGAGTATCTCCAAATAAAGGGACCCTTAACAAATGCGACTACAATTCCTGTCGGGAGAGTCAGATCCCCTGTGCTGAGCTAAGAGCCTCCACCGGCTGCTTGTGTCCAGGGTTTACTTTACATAATGTGGCTCCAGAGGCTCCGGAGGTGAAATCAGTGTCCTGGAATGGGTCAGAGGTTGTAATTCATTGGTGTGCACCTCATTCAGTTGTCACAGGTTACATTGTGACAATAGGGGGGCAAGAGAGGCAGAAGTTTGGGATGGACAAAAGGAGTGGTGGAGTGGGCAACATAGACAACATCTCAGAGGTTTGTGTGCTCGCAGTGAATGATGCTGGAACGAGTGGTACGTCCTGTAAAATGTACCAGTCCAACAGCAGTCACAACAGTCTGACTCTGACAGCGGGACTCATCGGGGGAGCTCTGGGCTTCTTGCTTCTCCTCTTGCTGGCTGTCCTGCTCTGGAGGCACAAGAGGCAGAGGAAACAGCAGGCCAGCATCTCTATGCATGACACAGCAGAGACACAGTGAACAGGAAACAGAGTGAGACTGGACGCCCAGTGAGATAAGACTCTGTCCCATGAGACTCCTCAGCCTCATCGCAGTTAATTAACTGTGACTAGATTATAATGTCTGAGGTTTTCTGTACAAAAAGGATTTCTGAAAATGCAGAAGTAAACAGGTTTCATCATCTTATGTGACTGTATTCAACTGGAAACTCATTGGCTAATTCTTGTTTCATATTGAAAACCCCTTGGAAGTTCCCACCGCCACGATTTGCCAACTGTTGGAAAATATTACATTTATTAGCTTAATGAAATCCAGAAGATTAACAAACAAAAATGCTTAATTTATGTGCATTTCAAAAGCTCTGAAATATTAGATGTCAGGACTTCTTGGGTCAGCACGCAGTCCATGCTTGCAACTGCTAGACTGAGCAACTGCTTATAGCAGCATAGATCATTCGTTAATAGGATAAAACATCCAAAACCATCAGTACAGTAATTTATATTTATTTATTCCTTGAGAGAATTGAATGTTTAGTTTTGTATCAGTGCATTTTTCTAGTAATCCAATGAGTTTTTACATGTTTTATTTAGCTTAAGAAGTAGCAGAATTTTCTCAACCTATGAACACGTAATCCTTAAATTTATCACAAAAACTTAAAATAATCAAATTTTGAGGATTTTTCTTTGAGCAGTGTAGTTCATGTGATGGACACAAGATGAAGTGCTCTAAATCAAAAGTACCCACTGACACAAATCAGGAAGTTATTTCAAAGTTTTAATAGTATTACATTTATACCGGAGAAACCAGCTGATGGTTACAAAGGTTTAAATGATATAATATTATTTGTGGCCATGTCAGAATAATTTAATCAGGTAGGATCAAAACACACTGTACACAGTAGATACACAGTGTATCTAAAAATGTATATGGTGTCTAAAACTCTCTGTGAGAGTTCATGACTATTTAATTAAAGATTGATTATGGTTTTAAGGTCTGACAGTGAATGATGTCCTGCATTATGTACTGTATTTATGAGCATAATTTGGTCGGTTGCCTTGGACCATACATATGTTAAGAGTTTGATTTGACTGATGTCTAAAGCAGACAAAACCAGACTGACTGTTCAAACTGGAGCTACTGTAATTTAAAAGGTCTGACTGTTTAACTCAAGTAAAACATTTACTTAGTTGCCATTACACCCGTGTGTGTGTGTGTTTTCTTTGATGGGTGTGGGCATTCTGAGCACAAGTGTTCAGTGCTGTTTTTCCAGCTGTCATACAATAGCTTTTCCAGCGGATATGGATTTTGTGAAGTTTGTCTCATTCCAACTGAGACTTGCAGTCATTCTGTGCTGTGCTGGTGAGAAGCTTAAGGCTTTTTTTATTTTTTTGTCTTTTTTTTCTTTGCCATGATGAAAAAGAGAAGAAAGTCCAATATTTAAATCCTCACAGTTTATCTCATGTTCAAGCCTCCATCTGCATGTCTCGCAGCCATGTTATAATTCCTTTTTTGCTCTGGCTGCTGCCACAGAGTTGTTCCACTGCTCCTGGCGTCTCTCTCATTCCAACTACACTGCACAACTTACAGCACACAGAGCTGTATGGAAGTCATCTAACATCTGTAATTTGGAGACAAAACAGATTGTTCATTTCAGTCGCCGAAACAGCCTCAAGATGTTGCTTTTATGACACGTATTTAGAGTGTCAAACTGGGTGGGAAATCCTGACACGAATGGGCGACTAGGTGACAAAGTGCATAAACATGGGCGTGCAATATGATGTGCTAGTAGCAGCCTGTTTTAACCAGACCAAGATGTAATGTACCCCATGCAGAATAGGTTTAACAAGAGCTCTTCCAGAACAGCACAACATGTACTTACAGATGAACAAATATACATGTATGTGTATCTTATTTGAAAAATTATGTGGTGAAGTTTAAATAAACTTTTTATTTTAACTTTGGATGTTTTTGAATGTTCATGAAGAAACCCAAATCTCCCTATTTCACAAAGTTAAATCATTCTCAATGGGAAGGCTGATATGTATCATACAGCTAAAAGGAAAATGAAGGATGAAGTTTAAACGCTTTTGAACGCTTTGATCATGAGAATGCAGAGCCGAGAAATCTAAAAGCTCAATATAACATAAAAGTTACATGACTTTAAAGGAAATTTTGAGGAGACTAGGTAAACACCACAATTTTGTCTTCAAGACAGTCTCGCATGAACTTCTCTCTCTCGACTCATATGTCTGACAAGAGGATCGATTCATGATTCCTGCTCGTTTCTTCATTTAGAGCTGAAAATGACCAATTAAGTGATTTTTTGCTATTGTATTTTTCTGTTTTATTTGTGAACCATACAAAAATATATCAAGATTGTGACATTACACAACCTGGAGGTACCCTTTTCAAGGTAAAATATTGCAATGCTATACATTTACATTTTTAAACTATAAATTAATTTCAACATTAAAGGTGGGGTAAACTATTCTGGAGAAATCCCATGATAGAGAGCAAACAATGAAACACCAAGTAATTTAACTCACATCAACTGTTGTGGGTTTGCGAACTGTGAGGTGCGACACTAGAAAATAAGCTGAATATCCATGGTGGGAGTCATTTAAAGTTACCTGACACATAAATCCTAGCTGTAAAAACAAGTGAGTGTTGTGGGGCTCTACTTGATCTGTTTGTTTCCCATTAACAGAGCCAGGGCTGCATACAACCACTGGATTTTATTTCAGTGCACACACAGAGGGGAGAGCTAGTGGACCGTGAGAAAATATTGGCTGAATTTTAAAGAAAAAGAAGTGTGTTGGATTCGAATCACATCACCTACAATCGCTCACCCCACCTATAAGTATGCAGCAGTGATGTAGTGTCAATATTAGGTATTCAGTTGCTTCTATATACTGGTGTTGTTCCGAGTTAGAATATCACTAGATTGAAACATAAGGTTGTTCTGCATGGGAATTTGGAAAATGTGTTTGAAGATACATTTTTTTATTACTTTTGTCTAATCAAAACATTTGAGCTAATGACTTTAATCACTTATTAATTACATTGAAAGAAAAATAACAGATATAATTGACACATTGCACACAAGACACAGACTATTACATGATCTGTTAATCATTTGCTGATTGTTGTCAGCATATGTTTTGCTTCAGTGGAAAATTTCCACATTTTTGCAGCAATTTACAGAACCTCCCAGGCAGGGGTGTCTCAACTGATGTTAGTAGGAATAAGATCATTTTGAAGAAGCACAGATGTGATGAGCAGAATAAGAATGTTTTTTCTGCTCTTGTGAACTGTGTTTTATTTTCCACATCCTAAAGACAGCAGACAACAGTCCCGGTGATATGATACTGTTGACACTGCTGCGGGCAAATTTTGCAACAAGGTCAGAAGCAGCAGGGATGCATGTTTTGTCCGGGACACTTCTCACTCAAGACAAGTCATGTTGAATCACTGCTATCTCATTCAGCCAAGCCGGTGACTCATGTTACATTGCTGGTGAAGCGGTCACAGATAAAACATTTCAGTCAGCTGAATTCAGGCTGAAAGATTTCACAAGAAAATACTTTGTGTCAGCCTCTACCTGCTCCCTCCATAACTGTGTGATTAACAAGTGATGATTGAGTTTGTTTGTGTAAGAATAAACATTTTAAGGGGCATTAAGTAATTCAGGTTATTTTTTCAGTGCGTCTGAACACATTTAATGCTTTGTCAGTGTGACGAAGATATTTTAGTCCAGCAGATATCCATGAAGCAAAGAGAGAATCTTTCACAAGCCTCTGTTAACTGTCCTCAAATTTGTAGAAGAAAAGTCACCTTGTTGCCCTCTGCTGGTCACATCCAATCCTGAGAGAAGAGTCCTGACTGCACTAAAGGACAGAAAAGGACATAACATAAAAGCTAATAATAATAATGTCTTCAAAGCTGGATCAAATTATCCTCAGTGCCTATTAAAGGCCTTGTCGGCTGGCAAAATATATATATATATATAAGGCAGGGGTTTATATATTTATATATATATAAACAGCTTCATAAAATTGAGAGTTTTCAAAGCAACGTTGGAAAAATCAACGTGAAAGATCTTCAAAGATTCTAAATCACCTGCACTCAAACTCTGCAGGAGCACTAGCATAAGTACTGCAAAATTAGAGGTGAGAGAAGTCTTTAGATCCTTTACCTAAAGCTGCTCTAATCAATGTTTTTATATTAACAAAGGATCAAATGACTATGTGTGATGAAAGGTGTCGCACATAACAAACCCACAGAGGATTATTACCAGACTCTGTTGTTCCCCTCAGCTCAGAGTGTTTTGGTGTCTTTCAGCACATTTTTTTGATTTTCAAACCTGAAACTACTGTTTGGTTTACACAGTGCATTTTCCACGCAGAGCAGTCAGCTGTCTTCATCAAAAGCCTTCCAACCAACTGCACACTATACCAGCCCAGGACTAAATGGCAGCAAAGTTAGCGACTAGCTGGTGAACACAGTGGAGCATTCTGCAATTTGAAAGGCGAGTATTTTCCTCAGGAGTTGGCGGAGACCAAAAAAACTATTTGTTCATTTTAAGGAGAAAAAAAACACACAACTAAATGAATAATAATTATAACTATTAATTATATTCTACAAGATGATTATATCTTTGGTATGTTGAATCTGAAGTTTATAGCTTTAAATAAATGGAATAAAAAGTATAATATTCCACTCAGTGAAGTAGAAGTGCAATGTAACATAAAACAGAAATAACCAAGTAAGGTACATGTATTGTTTTGTTTATTGTTATATGTTTGTTGTTATAAATTGTACTCAAATTAAATGTTCCACCACTGTGCAAAAAGGCTTTAATATGTCAAGGGGATTAGAAATCATGACAGCACACATTAAACACAGAAAAACTGAGATGACAAAGATTAAGTGTTGGGGGAAAAAAAGAAGGTATTTGGCAACATAATTTGACCCCTTTCTGTTTTTACATTATTTTGTCAACCCCCCCTCTGCTGTATATGACATTACATTGAATAATTACTGATTGTTCTATTTTCCAGATAAAAACAATCTCCTTTCACTGAGTGCATTTTCATGGCAGCTGCTTGTTGCTGAGACTTTAAGAGGCTTTACTGCAATAAAGTAACTGTAGGTTGTCATATTATGTTCATCTCATAACATTACACTGGTACCTATTCAAAACAGTCATTCATTTTCATGCAATTAATCATTCATGAAAAATTAATTTGCATTTAGCGCTGGGGAAATGAACGTTATTTTTTATTATTAGTAATCTATCAGCAGGGGCACTAATGGCTGCTTTCTCTGCAGCTGGGGTCAGCTTTTACAGGACATAAAACGTTCAAAGTGGGTCAGGCATCCATCAGTGCCCATTATTGGATCTAGACCTAGTCTTGAACGCATGCTGGTTTTATTCAAATGCAGAAAGGTTTCCTTTTCTTTAGTCTTCTAAGCATTTTGTAGACAGTACAATGAATAAAAAGAAAGGCAGATGAATATATTATAGGAGGACTCTGGGCCATGTTTGTGGCCTTCATCAGAGGAAACTCTGGGTCTAAGTGGGAGGTTGTAGAAGCTGATCCCCCCCTGCAGGCGTCTCATCCTGTTTACTGCTGCTATGTCTGTCTGTCTTGGCTCAAACCACAACTCTGTAAATAAAAAGATTAACTTCTGTCTCCAAGTGTAACTCCGGTGTCACTGGAAAGGATGATCAGGATTTATGTAAATGCAACAAGGCGTATGTTAGATTACATTTCTTCTTTTGGCTTCATCGCAGACGAAAAAACAAGAGTGTGACATCTCTCACCATCCAGACATCCTTCAGAACTGGTTGAGCGTGAGTCACAGCGACTTCTCTTTGTTTTCATAGGAACCACTAGAGGTCCTTATTGCAAAGAGCACCATCAAAACCACCTCTAGCATGCACTCAGTGATAATGTAGTGGAAATGGAAATTAGTTGCTCTAATAGGGATGAAAATGAGTTTGCTGTAGTAATCAGCTCAGCCACATTCCTATATCACAGGGGAGAGTGAAGGTTTGTGTTTGAAGCAGCTTAATGTTTGCTTTTCGTCACCATTTCTTTTTCCCCAGTTTTTTTTTCTTTTTCTATCATTCACTGCTCGACAGGCAGGTCAGCGCTCTCCTCTAAACTCCCCAGGATAGCTTAGCAAGAGCGTTTCATAAAGGAGAGGAGGAGAAAAATCTTTCCCTTTTTTCCTCCCCATTTCCTTGTATGAAGAGCAATGGTAACCATGGCAACCTGGCATTATACAGGATAGAGCCGAGGAGGTTGAAACTGAGCTCAGCTTGGAGAGGAGAGTTATCAATCACTTTGGCATCAGCACTGTCACACAAACACACACACAACCACACACACACACACACACACACACACACACACAAACAAACAAACAAACAAACACACACACACACAAACACGTTCGCCTGCTCTTTCGTCCTTCACATTACTTCACAGGCCAGGAATCATGACATTTTCCTTTTCATCAGAGAAAAAAAAAATCTGCTTCACTGTGTCCAGTGGATGGATCTGAATGCATAAAGCACTCATGTTAAAAGGTGAAAAAAAAGTGTTTGCAGATGCCAGAGCTTTAAAAACCACGGCCACTACCCTAGTTCATTTAGACGGTAAAAGAAAAATCATCGAAGAACAAGATTCCTCAGGTTTTGTTCTTTAAAAAAATCTTCTTATGTTTTACTTTTTGTCTGTGCAATAATTGGAAAACTTGCTGGAGAAATTAAGGATCTCTGTGGAGATTTACAGGCTTGCAATAAATTAATAAAATAATGAATCACTACATCAATAAAAAGCCAAAACAAACTAAGAACCTGTAAATTGCTGAGGTCATTTCACTACTGATGAGAACATTTCATCAGTACGATGGCGGACATTATGATACTAGAAGATATATTATGA